GCTATATCTTACAAAAACATAGATGGACAAATCTATAGCAAAACATAGCAATATACAAAAATAATATACCATGATCAAAAATATGGATCATTCAGAGAAAGAAGATCAATCAATATAACATATCGCACTAAGAAACTGAACACAAGAGCACATTAACGTAAGCAGAAAGAGCATCACAAGACTCAAAATCTAAGCCAGGCAGTGGTGGCGCATGCCTTTAATCCCAGCACTTGGGAGGCAGAGGCAGGCAAATCTGCATGAGTTCAAGTCCAGCCTGGTCTACAAAAGCTAGTTCCAGGACAGGCTCCAAAGCTACACAGAGAAACCCTGTCTCAAAAAACCAAAAAAAAAAAAAAGATTCACGAGCTATTCATTATTTTTTTGAATTTTCACAAATTAGAAATAAACTTCCTTAATATGGTAGATAGTACTAATTTTTAAAAAGGCCTACAAGCAACACAACATCTTGCAATCTTGCAGTTAAAGACCAAATGCCTTCCTTGATGGAAAAATAACAAGGCCAGGATGCCCACTCTTAGCCAGTCCATACTCAAAAGTCCTAGCCAGGGCCGTAAGGCAAGAAAATGAGCTAAAACATGTCACTTTTCACAAAGACACATGGCTATGTCCAAAGTCCCAGGGCATTTATTTCAAAGAATTTCACAAAACTGACAAGGGCTTATAGGTCATATGGTACAACATGAACTGAACAGTCTTTAAAAAGTCAAAGACGTCCTAAATACAAGTACAGTATACAAACTTGGAAGACATAATATAGTTAAGATGTCAATTCTTCCTAAACTATAGACTCAGGGCAATTCCAGGCCAACATACCCAGGATTTGTTAAAGACAGAAACAAGCTGTTTCTAAAATGTAGATGGAAAGGCAAAGGAACTGAAACAACCTAATCAAGTTTCAGAAAGAACAAACTAGAGCTTATGAAGTCTTGGGTTCGGATCCTAGAAGCACACAAGCTGACTCACAGTGCTTAATTTTATGACACATTATAAAGCTACAGTACCTGAAACAGGGATGGATACAGACCAAAGAAACAAACAGATGGTCTAGAAAAATGAACTATACAAAGAGAGCCAATAACCAATACTTCACTTTACTGAGGTACAATTTAAATACCATAATTTATCCACTTAAATGTAAAACTTAAGGGGTTTTTGCATATGCCTAGGCATCATTACACATGTATATTTACTTTCACATCCAGGGTCCTACACAATCCATTGCCCATTCTGCCTCATATCTTCCTATCGCTATACTAACTTTCTATTTTATACTTTATATTTTGTATTTGTCATACTAAACACTGCACAGGAAGGAGTAGGGTCTGTGTAACTGGTTTCTTTCTCTTGGAATAATATTTTCAAGACATATTTCTTTCATAATACTTTCATAGTACTTTTCATTAATACTTTCAAGACATGTCAAAAACTGCATTCTACTGCATGGAAACAACCCATTATATCTACTTCTTCACTGATATTTGAGTCGTTTACACTTTGGGTTACTATGGGTAATGCTGCCACCAAGATCTGAAGTGTTTTTATGTGGTTGTACATTTTTATTTCATTTGCATGCAATACTCTCTGCTAAGCCCCATGGTAATCCAATGCTTACAATTTTTTGAAAACTTCCAATTTTCTAATATATGTCTGTTTACATTCTCAACAGTAGCATGCAAAGATTCTAAATTTTCCACATTTTTGTTACTATATCTTTTTATTCTAACCATCCTATGGCTTCAAGTCACTAATTCATTTTGACAAGGTACACAGTCAATTGTGGAGAAAGGACGTTATTTTTCAAATAAAATGTTAAAACAATTGTGCACACTCATAAGAAAAGTGAATCTTGACTTAAGACAAACACCTAAAGCAAAATTAACTTAAAACATGAGCAAAGTTATAGGTACTAAAAGGTAGGTAAAGAGCTCTTAGATATGATAGCAAAGACAGACCATAAGAGAGAAAAGCAACAAACTGGACTTCAAAGCACCATCAACAACAAAGACAAGATTTAGACAAAAGAAAACACAAGCACATCATGTATTCTAAACAAGAGACATATTCGACATGTACAACAAACTCTCAAAATCTTTTCAGTTTCTGAAAAACACAACCCCTTGGGGGGTGGTGGAGATATGACTCAGTGATTAAGAGCACTTGCTATTCTTCCAGAGTAACCAGGTTTGATTCCCAGCACCCCCATGGTAGCTCCAACTCCAGTTCCAGGAGATCCCATGTCCTCTTCTGGCCTCTGTGGTAATGGCCAGTATGTGGTATAAAGACATGCATGCAATCAAAACACTTAGACAAATAAAAATGAATCTAAAAATGTTTAATAAATTAAAAAAGTACAACCCCAATTTTTTTAAAGTGGTTACAAATGTCACCAGGTAAGAGGTTACAGACTGCAAATGAATTCATCCATCAATTCTCAACATCACCAGTCACTAAGGTGATGAGACTCTAACTCCTAGAAGGACACAAAAGCTCTGGAGCTCTCACCACTGCCAGTAGAGAGGGAAAGGTGGAGATGAAAAGGGTGGGCAGATACTGAATCTGCTGTTTCCTTCTGTCCCCCAGAAACATTCTGGGAAAGTCTGGTCATTTCTGAAAACCTGAACACACATTCACTATGGAACCTAGCACAACAAGGAAGAGCTGTCTGTGTGCAGGTGTTAGGTATGTATGGCATTCAACAGCAACTCCATTCATACTTACTCCAAGTGCCCTTCCAAAGCACTAAGAAGAAAACCTATGCATGAATACTGGAGGCTACTCAGCAACAAAACTGAATGAAGAATTCTGATAAAAACAACAATTCGGATAAAGCATTAGAGCGAGTGAAAGCCATTCTCCAAAGAGACAGGAATCCATTTGCAAAACATTCTAAGAAAATGCAAATTAACAGTAATGGAGAATAAATCAGTGATTGCCAAGCCTCAGAAGCTAGTATAGGGTGAGCCAATAAACAAGTGAGCATGAGGAAGCATGTGGTATAGTCCTGCACCCTGACTTCAGTGTGTTCTAGGTACACTCATAATGGTAATAGTTAATTAGATTAATATACATGTCATATTTCACAGAACAGCATACTCTGAGCATATGGCTCAGAGCATAAAAATAGTGATGCCACACAGTGGAAAGACCAAAGAGGATCCAAAAGGGATTCCATTAAGAAAAAGATGAGTATTTTCATTTTAAATATGGAAGAAAAAGGAAGTTGCTAAGATCGATATGATCTAATTGTAAGACTGCAGAGAAAAAGAAAACCACACTGTCCCAGAGCCACACCTCCAACCGGGCAAACTGTACCCACCACCCATGCTAAGAGCCTAGTTGAGATGGAAGTTTCCAGTGAGAGGGACCTAGATTAGTCACCAGGGACTGGATCACATGCACATGTCAAGTTTAACAATATACCTAAACATTTTCTTCAGCTATTATAAATTACCTTAAAACTGTGGATAAAAACCTCTGAATCCTCTTATCCTATTAAACACTATGCAGTTAAATATATGCCCTGACAATTAGATAAATATCTGTAACAACATGTTCAATCACTTTCCAAAATTATATGGAACTGGGAAGTGATTTATCAAAAAAACAAATCTGTTTCTTTCCTCTAGAGCTCCAGTCTATCAATCCTTAACTGATAGTGAAGACTTCACTGATTTGAGAATCAAAGTGAACAAACTTTTCCAGACTCCAGGCTGACTCTCTATGCACAGACATCAGTCAACATGCAGGGGCTCCAAGTGAGAAAGGCATCTTTCTAAGAGCCATGCCCACCATCTCCTATCTGGTGGATATGACTAATTTTAATGTAGCAAAACCCAAAGATTAATAATCACTGCCAGAAATTATATACAGGACCAACAATACAATTCTGGTTAGTGTCACAAAAGATCAAAATGTATACCAATTACAAACATAGACATGATTTGCAATTAGTCTCCAACCATAGTTTCCAGAATTTCACAGAATAATAAATGAGTTCTCCAACTAATACCCACTTCTAGGTACACAAAATTATTTCAGCTGTATAGAAGTTAGCTATACCAGGCAGTGGTGGCACACGCCTTTAAACCCAGAAATCCGGAGGCAGAAGCAGGAGGCTCTCTGTGAGTTTGAGGCCAGCCTGGTCTACAAAAGCTAGTTCCAGGACAGCTTCCAAAGCCACAGAGAAACTTTGTCTCAAAAAACCAAAAAGAAGAAGAAAAAAAAGAAAGAAAGAAAGAAAAGAAAAGTTAGCTGTATTTAGTATGATCTCACTTATACAGGAGGGTCCTCCAAAATTTATTTTCAAACATACATTTACTAGAAGGTTAAAAGCAAGATGACATCAATTTACATATACTATTATAAATATAAGAACAGATTAGAAATTAGACAACTGTCAAATGCAACCAAACCAGATCTCAAAAGTGTGTGTCCAGGTATGTATATAGAACAAGAAATTGGGTAAGCAAAAACAAAGTGGCCTTTCAAGATGAGGCAAGACCTCAAGCTACCTAAAAGGTAGCTGTACACATCTGGTCTCTTCAATACAATAAAAATGAGATTTCCTACAAACCAAAAGCACATTTAAGACTTAAGAGAGAGGAATTTCTCTGATTTCATGACAAAGAAAATAAACTACTCCTGGGCTCCAGAGTATTAAAAGTAGAAGCATATGAAGCAACAAGACACATCAAATAAAAAGTTAAAATGTCCCCCAACACCTATCTCAAGGTCTATCCACAGAACAATGTAATGCCTGTGGCTCACACTTCATACCTTTGGAAACATGGCAAGTGGGAAGTATCTGCAACCCGCATCACTCCATCCACCACTCTCAAACACTGCTTTTTCTTAGATTACCTATAATCCAGAGGAGCAATCTGGACTAGCAAATCCTGACAATGGGTCACAGTCCCCAGGTCTGGAGCCTGCAAGCTGACGCACACACAACAGAGAACATCTTCACAAGAGGTACCTACGTTCTTTCCGGTGCTCAACTAAACCCACAGCCTGCTTTGCTGAGCACTTTGCAAACCAGTTGTCCCCAAGTAAAACAGTGACTTCATTAGTGTGGACAAGTTTCCCTGGCATGAAGGCAAGAGGGCCAAACGGTACCTATTGGTTAAAACAGAAAGAGAAAGGCAAAAATTTTAAACACACATTTTAAAAATACTTAGCAAGAGAAACCCTACATTACTGAATTTTTACCTATGCACTGGGAAAAATAAAATGTTAATTTCACAAAAACTTAGCATTATATTAAAATTTAACCAGGAAAATTTATAGGAAATTATCTTAGGCCAATAAATCCTCGTTAAAACAGGGAAAATAATAGCATATTTCCATGACAGCTATTAGTGCTGTCTCTGGATGTTTATACATTTCATTAGTTCTAAAGTCTAAGTGAAACTAAAATAGTAATGAAAACTATTGTCAGTATAACTAAAACTGTTTTTAAGGTAGGAATTAACAGTTGTATTGCCATCTACCTACCCACACTTAATCTAGTACAACAGAATAAATCCTCATGAAGCACAGTGATGCAATGGAGGCTTAAGCCAAAGGCTTGGGACAGAATGTATATCATGAGGAAGGTCACACAAAAATGATCTAGTAGTACCGCTCATTTAAAAAAACAAACAAAAAAAAAAAAGAAAGAAAGAAAGGAAAAAAAAAAAAAAAAAAAACACTGTTGTAGGTTTTAATTCTGTGAGTTACCAGGCATTGTGGCTTGATAACAGGAAATAAATGAATGTCATATTCCTATCATAACTAAAGTTTATATATAAATGTATTTGCATGTCAAACATGTCAGATTTTTGCTAGTATGCCATTTTATTATAATAATTATGCACAAATTATTGCATTATTTTTGCTTTAAGGCCTAACAAAGCAAACTTCCCTTACTATGGAGTCACCCCTGACAGTGTATCAGCTGACAGTTTGTGAACTGACTGACATACACCACAGGGGGATATCCTATCATTTTGTCATTAGACTGTCTACAGCAAACAACATGTGACTCTAAAAGGAATACAGAAAGCATACCATGACGTCGTAAGACAACTTGTCAGGCAAGGTCCTCAGTCTCTCTTGAAGAGCACTATAGTCACTGTCTACTTTCTCCCTGGTGAGGAAGACACCAAACACAAAATGAGTTCAGGAAGCCAGCAATGGCATTCTTCTCCCATAAATTCACTCAGAAATTAAAACTCATTCCAAAACACAACACTCACATCTTAACAATTTGCTTCTTAAGGTAGAAGATGGCCTAGTCTAAATAAAATGGAAGAAGTAAGTAAATGCAAAGAAGGGGCTATGTTTAGAGGGAGCCAGGAACTGGAACTGAGAAAACGGTCATACAGCTTCTGAGTGAATAAACACACACAAGATGGTACCAGGGACTTCCGTCCTCATCACTGGTGTGATCAACTTCTCAACGAGTCATACAAATGTGAAAAAGGCAGGGTATCTGACCAAGGGCAGAAAACAAATTAGGCAGCAGTAATGCAGAAAGCATTTCAACTAGTGTCTGAAATCTGTTTCATGATGTATGAAAACAGCTATTAGCAGGCATGGTAGCACATGCCTCTGACCCCAACCTAGGGAATAAGAGACAGGAGGATCAGGAGTCTTTCTTGGCTACATAGTGAGTTCAAAGCCAACCCCTAGATTACATGAGCTTCTGACTCGATGTATATGTGTGCAAACTGTTCCTCCACAGGGCTTCAACCTACTGAGTATCAACCACCCCTCTTCCTAAGCCTGAGCCTGTGCTGAGATGACACTTCTTTGGAGACCAAGTTTCCTAAAGACTCTTTGCTAGGATGGAGGCTACACAAAAAAATATAAAGCATTGAACTATTCTGTTTAAAGATAACAAAACCAGTAAGCTCACCAAGTCAGCAAGTAATTTAAATAACATACTGTCAGACTAAAATTTATCCTAAGTGTCATGTAGGTAACCATCATATAAAAATGACTCTACTACAAGCCATGGAATTGGCATCAGTTTACTCCTTAGCTCCACTAAGCAGTAGTAGCATAATAAAAATTATCCACTCAAGTCTTAAGATCTCAGAGAATTTCACACGTGTTGTTATTTATCCTGAAAACACTCCTACAGGAATGTCACTCAACATTTTTCTCTTATATAAAATAACAGAAAGCCAATACTGGAGAGAGCCCGATCTCCTGTGTCTGTCCAAGCAGACACCCAGCTATCTAGCTCTTCATCTTACTCTCTCACACAAAATTTCCTTTTCCAAAGTTCAAGTACTGTCTATGAACTCTCCCAAAAACTCTTATCTATAAACAAACACAGAATGTCTGCCTTGGTATTTCTCTTGTGCATGTATGTGTGAGGGGGTGCATAGGCACATGTGTAAGCTGGCGATCACCACTGCATGTCTTCTACAATCATTTTCTACCTCACTTTTGAGACAGGGTCTTAACAATTCAGCTAGAATGTCTGGCTAGAAAGCTCCAGGCATCTTCCTGTCTGTCTCCCCAGCACTGGGGTTATGGGAACACAACCTTCTTTCCTATGTGGTGCTGGGGATCAGAACTCAGATCCTCTTGCTTGTACAGCAAGCACTTTACTGACAATCATCTTCCTAGACCCGATTATTCCTCTGGGTACATTTTTATATGAACAAAAATGGCAAAAGCCTTCATGTATAGGACTATATACAGGGCCAGGACCAAGACACAGAGGGGCCATGGCTTTAAGGTCAATCTAAAGAGTGACTCCCAGCTCTCCTACTTTACTTACATAAATGAACCTTAGCCTTAATTTTTCTTCCATGCTAAAACTGGAAAAATGCTTGTTCACAGGTTCAAGAGCATTAAAGCATAATTTTCAGAAAAGATTATTATTAAATAATAGGATAAGATTCCACTTAACTTAGTCATTGGATTCAATTGGATATTGTGACTTACTGAAAGATGACAGGACAACTGAATGCCACCATTCAAAGGTTTTGGAGACAGGGTCAATATGAGCAATAAACAAGATGATATGATACAGTGCCAACGTATCACAGACACTCATTAATCTATGGAATACTAACAGCCTCTGTGATTTAGACTGAGACTGTAAAAGCTCAAGGACTATCCATCCACTATCTAATGCTTCTGATTAGGGCCAATTAAAGTCAGCATTCGGCATGTCTTACAATGGTAATCACACCTAGAAAAGGGGACTTAAGAAAAGAAATTTCATGTGCCCTCAGAGAATAGTTCAACCAAGGTAATGTCAGCAATCAGTATTTCAAAATGAACACTCAGCTTTAACCTTCATTAATAATTCTAGAACAAAATGTGGACAAAATAGAGAATAGTTTTAGATTAGAGTTGCTATTTCTACATTTTGAGTTATTTTCTAAAAAAGAAAGTGGAAGATGATTTAAATTATAGTAATGTGGAAACACTTTTTGAAGGTAAGCTAGCTATGTATCTTAATGAAATTCCTGAAGACCATTCTGGTCAAAATGTCCAGGACCAAGCACTTAAACAAAACGTGATCTCCAAAGCCCTCTAATACACAAGCTAAACCTCAAAAGCAGCAGCAAAGTACATGTATGTGTGTGTATGTCTGTGTGTGTGTACATATAAACACCTATATACTATTTTTATTTATTTAATTTTTTTTTTTTAATTGTAGGATTATTTGCCTACAACATATGCAGTACCCAAGGAGGACAGGAGAGGGAGTAAGATTCACTAGGGCTAGAGTTACAAGTGGTTATGTGTTTTGGGAGCTGAACTCAAGTCTTCTGCAAGAATAGTATGGGCTCTTAAATGCTGAGCCATAAAAATACAAGTTGACTGTTTTTTCCTTCAAGATGGGGTTTCTCTGAATAGCTCTGGCTAGCCTGAAACACTTTGTAGACCACTCTGGCATTGAACTCTGCCTTCTACCTTCTGAGTGCTGGGATTAAAGGCATAAGCCACCACACCTGGATTTAAATTTTTATTTTTATGAGTATTTGCCTAATGTACATTTGTATACTACATGCATGTCTGGTAACCTCAGAAGTCAGAAGAGGACATTGGATCCCTTGCAATTAGTTATAAATAGTTGTGAGTCACCATGTGTGTGCCAGGAATTGAGCCTGAGTCCTCTACAAAAACAAGTGTTCTAAACCACTGAGCCATCTCTCAAGCCCCAATACAAGTTCTCTTAAGAATTAATGTTTAAGATTAGACAAGGTTAATATTTTCACCACAAATGTTAATAGATCTCTTTCAACTTTATTACTTGGAAACATAAATTTTAGGTGCTATAGTCTTACTAAAATATAGCAACCAAGAGATAACTCTCTAAAGCCCTTTTTCTTCAAGCCTCTCAAATCCATTTACTCCCATGTTTGTCGCTAGCATATTTAACACAGACTGCATTCAGTCCCACCACACTCTTTTTCCTGGTATTACAGACTGAACTTAGGGCCTTATGCATGCTAAGCAAAGGCTCTACCACTGATTTTTTGGGGTTTTTTGGTGTTTTTGTTTTGTTTTGTTTTGTTTTTATTTGAGACAGGATCTCACTAAGTTGCCCAGGCTGACCTTGAACCTGCCATCCTCCTACCTCACCCAGAGCAGCTAGAATGAATAGTCTGTGCCACCAAGCTTACAGCCTTCAATTCTTAACTTTAAAGTTTTATTCAAAAAGCCTTACTTCATACCAAATAGCTTTATGCAACATTCCTCATATAAGTAAGAACTATAGCTCAACTGAATGGCATATAAAAAGCAAACTCCTTTTGAACCTCACTGGCCATGTCTACATACCTCTGAGAAGCACCTTTGGTTTTAAAAAGGCAGCAGCAATGAAGGCATTGAACACATCTATAAATAGCTCTAACCTTAAAGCATTAAGATCAGGACAGATCCTATGGGAAATATTTATTTTCATAGAAATGTAACAAGTCTGAGAGAGCAAGCTAAATGAGGTGTGTGTGAAAGTATTTAAAGGTGAAGTATGCCAATGACTTGCTCTGAAATGCCTCAGAAAGGAACGGATTAATGAGTAAGACATAGATGGTATATAATCAAGGTTCAGTCCAACTGTTCTGTGCAGGCGAAGATTTCTCTAACAGATTATTTAAAGGGGTACAGGAGAGCATGAAAAAATAGTCTACACATTTAATCTTTTTCTTATGAGAAAAATACTTTTGTAAAGATAAAGTAAGCTCTACGTCCCTTGTTCCAAACAAGTGACAGCTCTCATCTCCATCTTTAAAGCGATGAAACTAAATCTCTGCTTACAAGAACAGAATCTCCCTATTGTACTTAAGTCAGAAGGCATACTGGCAGAAAATACTAACACTAAACTGTCTCCTAGGAGGAAGTCTCCCATCATTCTCTTCTCCTTTACCTAACCTGCTAAACAAACAAAAAAGCAGAAAACACTATGATATGCTTAAAAGGAAAGGGCTTTACATTAGTGCAAACATGTTATTAGCCATAGCAAGAGTTGTTTCTAAGAAACATTAAAACCCAAAGCTTCTGAACTGTACAGGAGTCAAAAGCAGCTATTTTTAGTTCATTATCACCACTTTAGAAGTATCGTACAAATATCTAAGAAAGCCTACTTTCGATCCAAGCCACTAGATATTAACCCACTCTTCTCCAACAGAGCCTTGGATCCACCACATCACAGAGGCCATCACTCAAATCTAGCAGGCCTTAAAGCTCCACTAGCTTGGTCCTTGGGTAACCTCTAGAATTAAGAAAGTAAAGAAAAGTTCAGTTGAGGCAGAGAGATTCTCTCTCATTGCTATAGCAAGAAATGACACCTTTCTTCAGTATCCTTTTAAGTCTAAGAAAGTTTTTGAGTTACATGACAAAATATGAACATTCTTGAAAAAAGGGAACAATCCTTTCTATGAACTGCTGGGGAAAGAAATGCTCCTCACTCACAATTTAAATGTATTTGTATGAAATAGCATTGTCACATTTTTTTCCCAAGTACTCACAGCAAAATGTGACTTAATTCAAAATTAAAATCTACCAAAAAATTTTAAGACAAAATGGAGACATATTCCTTTTTATAATGCATCACAGCTCTAAGCACCTCAGAGCTCACTTTATCAGAAAATATTGATAACTTAACACATGTACCGC